GTCTTCCTCACTCATCTTGCTGATGCTCTCCCCTCTCACGGGAACCCCCGACTCTTCCTCTGCGGGAGCTGGTCTCCAGCAGGTGATCTTGAAGAAACAAGGATATGAAAATAGCTGACAGGAGTGGAACAGTACGCTAGTGCTATTGTGGACACTATAGTCAGGAAAGGCCTCCTTGGAAGAAATATGTTCCCATCCTTTTTCACTCTGCCCTTAGATATTCTCTCTGTTGCTCCAAGAGCTTTGTGAGCCTCCTCGATTGCTGTTTTTCCTCCTCCAGCAGCTTTTTCCTCTCTCTCAGGCTCCATTGGGCACAGCTAAGCCTCAGAGCTCAGCTGCCAACTTTCTCCCTGATACCCACTGACAGCCTGACTTCAATTACAACTGAAACATGGGACTGTGGGTCAACTGCTGCTCCGCATCTCCAAACATCTGCTGGATAAACTTAGGTTGTCCACAAATCTGGTGAGCAAAGAAAGGAACTCATTTCTTTTTGCCTTCTTCTCAAAGTCCCATGACTGGTGTCATACCCACTCAGATGTACAAGCCAGAAACCAGGGATTTGCAAGCTCTTTTCCCTCCCTCCACATCTCACCATTCACCATCTCTACCCTCGTGTCAGTGTCTCTATGTGCTGACCTCATCCCTGTATCAGCACTCTCCTTGGGGCGTCTACAATAACTACTACCAGCACTTAGCTTTGCAAAAAGCATGTACAGTGCAGCTCACCCATCCTTATCCAAAGCCACCCAGTTCATCTCTGGAGAGGTTACCTAGAAGAGGTAACCCACTTTGGAGCAGGTATATCTATACTTTTTACACATGAATTGTAACACACCACTTAGTGTCTTAAATTATGTCTTTTTGTGTGTGTAATTTCCTTGAGATCTTTTGTTTCAGTACACAAAGATCTATATTATTTCCTGTTTTCACAGCTGAAAAATATTTTTTGTATAATAGTCCAAGCAAACCTATTTGTTTCCAATCATTTGTTATTATCAATGGTGTTTTTTTTTTTAACAACTTTATATCCCATTATTATAATGGCTATAAGTTGTATTACTGGTCAAAAGACATCTATAATTTTTATATTTGTTAGTTATTGTTTTCATTAAAGTTATACAAGCACAGATTTAAGAATCAAATAATTCTAGAAATTTGTTATATATAAAAAACCTAATAATTCCCAGAATTACCCTCTTCAAGTCTTTTTAAAAAATGTGACTTCTAAACAAAATGTATACCCATGACTCTAGATGACACGCCACTTCATGAGTTTTCCATTTTAACATCAATCGGTTGACTCTCCACTCTGGAGGGTGAGAATCTGGCTTTCCATCCTACCTGGTCTTCATTACACAGATTCTTTCCACCTTTCTTCCCCCTACTCCCAACATTGTTATGAAAACCACTGTTATGTCATAATTTGGTTATGAAAAATGAAAGACATTCTGGGATTAGTAGAAGCTTTTCACAAATGAACCTTTTACTACTTTCCCTTTCTTTCATGTTGTCTTCCAGTTATCTGACTCTGAAATTTTAATCCTTTTGTAGGCTTTACCTAGATTAGAACCTTCCCACATGTGACAATCTTCTAACTGAGGCATATGTCCTCTGTCAGGAATGCAACATCTCTTCCCACATAGGAGCCCGGTTTTACGAGGCCTTTTTTCATTGTTGACTTAAAGTTTCAGAATGATTTTCTTTGTAGAGTTCCTTTACCTCTTTAGTTAGGTTTATTCCCAAGTATCTGACCAGCCCCTCTATGTTTATTGTGGCACAATTTATAATAGGTAAGTATGGAAGCAACCCAGATGTCCAAAAATAGATGACTGATCAAGAAGATGTGGTATATTTACACTATGGAATATTACTCAGCAATCAAAAAGGGTAAATGCATGCCCTTTGCAGCAACATGGATGGAGCTGGAAGGGATTATGCTCAGCAAAATATGCCAGAAAAGAAAAAGGAAAATATAGAAAGGTCTCAATTATAGCAGAAATGTAGAGAAAACAAAAAAGGAACCAGGCAACAAAAGTAACTATAATAAAGGAAAAATCAAAATCATTAGGCAACTATAGATCAGAGAGATTCTGGGGTGGGGGTGGGGGAGTAGAAGGACCAGGACAGGAGTGGGAAGAGCACAAGGGACTGTGGTGATGGTGCACAGGGGAACTGGTGCTGGGAATTTCACAGGAAATCACACATTGTACATAAATGAAGGATGATGTAATGAATATATTAAAACAATTTTTTAAAATTCAAAATGAATATGGAGGAAAATATATCCTTTTAAATCTATCCTTTTAAGGTGGCTTCCCCCGCCAGCCCAAGTATGCTAAATGCCTAATCATTAGGCTGTCTGCATACAACTTCCAAGATGTTTGCACTACCTTCTTTTCCATTAAAATTCTATATTGTGGTTTCAGTAGAATTTCAAGGTGGAATAAAAGGAAATGCCTGTATTAAGTATGCCCTCTTCACTAGGAATTTATAACTTTATGGTTTCCCCTGTGGAACTTCCTCTTTAAAACATCCTGTACAACAAAGCCAGGACGAGTTCATTAAGTGAAACCAAGACACTTCCTAGACACATTCCTTAAAAGTTCCTATTATTTCCATGAGCAGATGAAAGCTTATTAGCACAGAAGGCAAAGTCCTTCAAGATCTGATTCCTACTTAGCTCTCATTTATTCATCAGTATTCATTCAACTACTTGTCACTCATTTATTATTTATTTAGCTCTATTATATACCAGACACTATGGCTGGCACAAACAAGAGGGACTTGATTCCTGTCCTTATGAAATACACACACACAAATAAGACTAGCTTTTCTCACATACACACACATACACACAAACATATATGAGAAAAGACTAGATTAACAAAAATATTATACCTATGACTGTTGAAAAAAGGCAGTACAGTGGCTACAGACAACTAAATCTGCAGGAATCTAACAATGTTCTGTCACTCACCCATTTGCTAAAGCCGAACACTCTGCAGTTGTATGTAAGTCCTTACTTTTCATGCCAAATCCTTCTCATGCCTAGCAAGTTCTAAAAATTATTTATTAAATATCTCAATTTTTTTTCTCCTCACCTCACTGCTAGAAAAATAAATTATTATCACCCCTCACTCTTGCAATTGCAACAAGCTCCTTAAGTGCTTTCCGTTTCCCAAGAGCTGGTCATTCATTCACCCTATGATAGCCAGAGCTGCTTCTGTAAATAAAGCTCTGATCTTATCGCACCTCTGCCTAAAACCTCTTAAAATGTTTCCATTGCCCTCAGGAAATAGTCCAAAATCTTTACCATAATCTACAAAGCACTGTTATGGAGTTTTTTTGTTTTTTCTTTTTTTTAAATAAGAGGCCTGGAGTCAGAGACAAATGAACTCAAAACTAGAGTCAAAATTTACTAGCAAGATGACCTGGGGCAAGATACTTGGCAACTCTAAATCTCAGTCCTATCATTTTATTGCAAAAAATGGTCAACAACAGAATCTCGAGTTACCTATTATTTTATTAGGAGGAGTAAACAATTCTGCAAATACAATGAGAGAGCACAGATCTTTGCATTTAAAATACTCATTTACCTCATCTGAGGCCATCCTCAAGAGCTCTTATTGAGGGCTCACCTTAGAGCTCAGTGGTTAGGAGTACCGATTCTGGAAGCTGATTATCCCTATGTTTCTTTCCTCCTCCATAAGATGAGAATAATAACAGTACTCCTACTTCACAGAATAGTTGATGATTAAAACGTGATAAATTAAAATATGTGATAAATTAAAACATGTAAAATGGTTGGAGCCTAGCCTGGCACAGAGGGAACACGTGGTTGCTGCTCTTCTCATTACCTTTCAGTTCTTCCAACACTCCTCCTTCCAGCCTTTCCTTAGCCTATTCAATCTTCAGGCCTAGGTGCAAACTCTACTTCAACAGAGGAGCTTTCTCCACCTCCCAGTACCGTCTAGTGCTAGGACAGCATCTTCAACCTTTACTGCAAATCCCTATTGCACACTGCCTACACTACTGAAACGTCAGTCTCCCGCACACCTCACAAAGGGCTCCCAGGCAGCATATCCCCATGAGCTTCCCAGCATTTTACCTCGACTGTGACGTTCCACCACGTGAGACCACAAAGCCCGACACGGGGCGTTCCTTTGGATTCTCCACCCCCTACACCCTTCAGGCGTTCCGGCCTCTCAGGATAGACCAAAAAAGGAGGCGGAACGTCGAGATCCGGGGGCTGGTTTCCTCGCCGGATCAAAAGCTGAGCGTACCGAGCGTCGCGGGAGCAGAGCCTGGGTCCCCCGGTTCCGCGACATGGCCTTCAACTTTGGCGCTCCTTCGGGTACTTCGGGCACCGCCGCAGCTACTGCTGCCCCTGCGGGTGAGCGACCCCCTAGACCTTATGTTGGGGATCTAGGGGGGCTTCTGGTCCGACCCCTCAGGCAGAGACGCTCGGGCTTGATCCTGAGGTCTCCGCCCACGCGGAGACCTTAAGGGGTACAAGAAAGGGCGGGTGACGACAGAGAGGGTCCAGGAGGCCGCGGGGGCGCGCGAGGCCCAACTCTGAGCTCGCACGCCACGAGTGGGTCCCAGCAGGGCCCTGCCCTCCTGGGCTTGGCTTCCCGTCGGGAAGTCTGGAGAGACTGGAAACGGCTCCTTTCTCTCCTCGTGCAAGACCCGTCTTCCCTCCCACTTCTCAGCCTTAGTGAACCGCGGGAACGCTCCGGTGAGGAAGGGGCTGTGAGAATAGGGCGGGGGACCCCGGCCGCTCCCCTGCGGCTCCGTCGGTCCCCCGCAGCGAAAGGGAGGGATCCAGTGCTGAACTAGGTCCTCCCAGGGGGCTTCGCGCGCCTGCACCTTCCTGCGGTCCCCACCTCCTCTCCTAAACTTGTTTGGAATGAAGTCAAGGTTTCTCTTTGTTCACTGCTGTGAAACCTGCTGATTCTTCTAACACTTTTCTTGCTTTCTTTTCCTTTTCTTCTTCCCTCTCCGCCCTTTTAAAATTTTGTTTCTTTGCCTACACGCCTATCAGGATTTGGTGGCCTTGAGACTGCCAACTCCACCGCCAGTGGGTTTAATTTTGGGGGTTTCGGATTAACTGCTAATCCTGCAGTGAACTTTAATATTGGGAATTTCGGTGTTTCTACTACCTCGGCGACTCCGTTCAATTTTGGTAACAGTCTGGCAAGTGCAGGTAGATACTGCGGGTCGTACGTGTAACAAATGTTGGGAGCAGGAGTCCAAGAATATGTTGTGTTCCCTATTGTGGTGGGGGGGGAACAGCTTATGTCTAACGAAAAAAGAGCATTCATTTACTATTGCTGAATCAGAAACATTTGTCTTAAAAGCTTGGCTTTGGGAAGTCTTGCAATTTTAATGTTCCTTTGTGAAATTTTCAGAACATAATATGCTTTCCAAGTGATAAGAATTTGGGTGGGTTACTAGTTTGAATAGAGTATATTTTCCAACGTATAGTCTCATCAGTCAGGCCCATTTTCTTGGGATTCTTGGACTCCTGCAGTTATTTTTCATTTTTCCTGCATTTTTCATCGAATTTCATTTGACTGTCCTTGTGTTTTCTCCAGAGAAACAAGTCTTATACGAACAGCAGTAAACCATAGTTTTTTTAACCTCATTAATGTATTTTTTAACAACTCCGCAGATTAAGATTTCTGCAAAATAACAATTATAAAAGAATCTCCAATTTACCAGATTTTTGACAGATGATCAGAATTGATTTAATTTACTGTGAGGTAATAAATTCTAAGAGGTAGATAAGCCATCTTTACATTCAAAGACATGATTAGGAAGATTTTGGTATCTATATGTATTGTTTGAAGATAACTGGAAATTTTGCATAACAAGCTATAACCTATGTGTATTTATTTATTTAAAATAGGTCTATGTGTACTTTATATTCACTGACCCTGTACACAAAGTTTGCTCCTCAGCTGCTCGTATATGAATTCATTGTCCATATTCTCTTAACATTATACCTATGCCAATTATATGCATTTACTCCCTAAATACTTGAAAAAGTCTGTTTTTTTTTTTTTTTTTTGTGGAGTGAGTTGTTAACTGCATTCTGACTATAACCTTGGCATCTGCCTTGAAAACATTTTGAAGGAAACTTGAATATTCCAAAGATGAAATAATATTTTATCATTAAGATATACTTAAAGTGAGCAGATACCTCTTGTCACTTGGTATGTTCACTTTCCTTGTTTGCTTAAAATTGGCACTGGGTAAAACAATCATTTTGCAATTTTGTGTTTTCCTAAATAAAGCCACTCAGCTCATAGTTCAACAACAGTAAATCTTTCTGATATATGCTTGATATCATGTTCATTTGGAGTTATCACTTTATGTGTAAGTTTTGAGTTGTGTTTTAGCTGCTCATATGCATATGTAAACTAACAGCCTTCAGCAAACAACCGATAGAAATACTTTATGTTGTATCCCCAAAGATTCAGTATTACTGATAATATGTATGTGATATTATGGAGCCTAAGATAGTTTTTATCGTATAATCAATTCAGAATATATCATAATTATACTGTAGAAGTCAAGACTGTTGGAAAAGATCTAATGTTCAGTACTTCAGGTGATTTTTATCTAGATGTTTACTTACTATTTGAAGTACTGTATTAGAACCTACATATACATGGAGTATTTCGTTGTGCTAGCATACAGCATGTAGTATATTCTTGTGTAATTTCCAATTCAGAATCATAAAATGTATGTTTTTTCTTTTTATATTTTTTATACTACAATATTGCTGAATCTCCAAAATATATGAGATTAAAAGTTAGAACTCCGGAAAATCTGTGGCTTAAATCAGAGCACTTAAGTCAAAACATTTGTCCTAAGTCTACAGCATCATAGTGGTAATAAGGTAAAATCTGATGAGAAATAAAACATAAAACAATTTTAAACACACTAGCACCCTGTTCCATTAATTTCATCTCTAAAACTTACCTAAAAATGAAATTGGTATATTTGCTACACTTTCCAAACTGGTACAGAGGCCTGTGACAGCTGTGCTTGCCTTCCCTTCCTTCCACATTTTGTTGTTTACCCTTTCTTTGAAGAAATCTATTTTGTAATTGAGGTCAGAATGTGGTATGTTTCCTTTGAAAAGTTGCCTTGTCTTGACAGACACTAAGTAGACATGTAAACTAAAAGAGATAGAACTTGAGTAACCCAGCATTGTAAACTGGAAACATAGTCTGCCAGATAATCTGCTGACATACTGTTTTTAAAACATTTGTCACAAAATAAAACATTGAATTAGTGTTTAAAAATCTATTAAGCTTCATGTAGAAAATAGATTTCCTATTTCTCTTGGGGAAAATGGGAATATATATATATAACGCTAGGAAACTACCGTTCTTTACACAGCAATGCTGTGCTGGAATTCAGGGACTGCTGTCACTAGGCAACATCTACAACAGGTTCTGCATTCAGCTTTTCTGCCTCACCAAAACTGTTCACATTGAACATTTCACCAGTCTAATTTACCCATTAATGTTTTCAGTGGTAAGTCTTGTAGGCATTTGAATTTGCAGCCCTTATTTTAAAGGTATAGTCATTCTGATTTACAAATCATCACAGTGGGGTAACAGTTAATCAGTTAACTTTACTTGAAGGGTATATTTCACTGTAGTATTTCTACTATAAACACTTGGTTGCTTATTTCTTGCAATATATCGACTTCTTGATTAGCAGTGCTGGTATTTTTTTTTATATTAAAAATAGAGAAAGGAAAACTAGATCAATATTTTGTCTTTATAACATGAAAAAGAAATTACCTTGTGTTCTTCCTGTCTATCCTTTTTTAATTAGGTGGGTTTGGAGGATTTGGGACAGCATCAACAACAGCAGGTTCTGCATTCAGCTTTTCTGCTCCCACCAACTCAGGCACTACTGGTAAGAGGATATCTTGTCGTTTATAGACATAAGTAAGCTAGAAATCAGTTTTGTTTTCCTAACTTACATAATTCAAATTTTTCATTTAAAGGACTCTTCAGTGGTACTCAGAACAAAGGTTTTGGATTTGGTACTGGTTTTGGCACAACAACTGGAACTAGTACTGGTTTAGGTACTGGTTTGGGAACTGGACTGGGATTTGGAGGATTTAATACACAGCAGCAGCAGCAGCAAACGAGTAAGTATAAGAGGTTTTCACCGTACTTAAAGTATAAAACTAAAACAAGATAGCTAACATTGTACTGTTCAAAATAACTTGTAGTGAATTTTTCTTTTCTAAGAATTACAAACACTATTCTAAAAGATTTCAAAAACTGCTTCTCACACATATATATGTTACAACTGAAGAGAAGACTGGCATGAGTAGGACACTATAAGGCCTATGTGTTTAGTATCATTCCCTTTAAGTTTTCATTGCTAAAAATGACACTTACAGAAAATGGCACAAAAATAGTTCAATGCATTATTGATAAGGTGACCACCCTTATAACACTGCCCACCTGGGAAGTTGGGCCCTGGCCATCTTTCAGGGGTCCTTCCACATATTATCCCCAGTGTCTGCTTTGTGAGAGGAACTTTAGTCCTTTATAGTGATTTTGTCCTTGCTTTTCTTTATAGTTTTGAAATTCAAGTGTTAACAGTTTTGTTCAGTTTGCCTGTCTTAAATCTCTGCTAGTTTCCACTTTCGCTCTCGTTTCTCTATTTGTTGAATAAATCAGATATTTTGTGTGATATTTTCAGCAAAGACCTTATTGATTACATTCTATGGTATAGTTTCAACATATTCCAAAATTGGGTTGGATCTAGAGGCTTATTTATGTTGATAGTTTTATTCAAGAGGCATATAATTTCTGATTGTTGTGCTGTTAGCAATAGCCTTGGTGATCATTTCTTAGATCTGTTACATTATTGAGATCTGTGACTTAGTTAGGGTTACAAATGGGCTGTCATTCCAACCCTACAATTCCTTTTTCACTTACTGGTTAGATAAAAAGAAACTTCATCTACTATTTGATCAACTATTTCCCTTTATTATTAGTTTTTAATAATAAAAACTATCATTAGTTTGCTATCATTCTGCACAGGAAAGTGATTTAATATCAGGAACACTCAAGTATTTAAAACTTTTTGATATTTTTTAATCCACTGCATTATCCTCATTGATGCTTAAGTTGTAATGTTGCAAAGTTGGGCCAATTTATGTCTTATAATTATTTTCTCAAGTCCTTTTGCCACAATTGTAGATACATTGTAGGTATATTTTCGTTAGTGGTTTTTTTAGAAAAAAAATTTAGTAGTTTTTAGAATTAACCTTCCATAGCTTCTTTACTAACTAGCATGGTAGTGTTTTCCAGGGTTATCTTCTATAGGTTAACTTATTTAATTCTCCTAAGAACCCCATGAAATAGTGATATCCATTTTCTAGGTGAGAGATTGTAACTTTATCCACATGTCTTAAAGAAGTACTATAGAACATAATTTCCTTGACTTCCTTTATAATGCTTTTATCATTTTCACATCATTTCTTAGTCACTTGTATTTCATTTTTCTTATATTAAAATTCATCTTACTTATTGAAGATTAGTAACTTGTTAGATGTGAATAATTTTAAGAATTGTCTAACCAGTAGGCTGAAGATAGCTTCAGAGTTGCTCTTTCTAGTATCCTATTAATCTTTTCAACTATTGTCCTAAAAAAATACAAAATTTATTTTTTCTCCAAATTGAGAAGTGATTTTTTTTCCTTGAAATAAATTCTCCAACTATAAATTATTCTAGTTGCATTTACTTTTGTTTGAAGAAATAGATGTGAATCTGTTACAGTTCATTTTCAGAATGTAAGGGGCTTGTTCATATTATGTGGCAGCCGTTTTTGAGTGTGTTATGTATCAGCTTTATGAGACTGAAAATCATAATCCCTGTTCGTCTCCAAGAGGATGATGATAGAGAGAATAAACAACATCCAATAACTATATATATAAAATCATGTATATATGGCAGTGCCTATGTATACCACCTTTTAATATATTCTAGTACAAGTAGATATGTGAAATCACTAAAATAGATCTATGTAAGATGCTATGGAATGTAGAGGAAGAACTGAATCTTGAAGGAATTAGTCAATTGGATAAAGTCAGAAAAGGGTGTTGTGGGCAGAGGGGATACATTGATAAATACATGACTACCTGGCACAGCATAATGAATTTGAGACCTGCTGTTGTGAGCAATTTGGTTTTTATCTGTAGATTATGGCACCATTACCTTGTTTTTAAAACTCCTGCTTTTGAGGTGCTTGTTGCCTGGCTGCACAATCTCTGATAGATCTAATCTGAAATATTTGCATGCTTCCTTTTATTTAATGAAGGCTTTGGCAGTTGGTTCCTAGTGTTGCTTTTCATTTTCTGTCATTAAATTGTGTTGTTTCAATATCTTCATGGCTTATTTGCATTTATTTGTTAGACAAAAAGAAACTTTATCTTTTGTACCCTTTACCTTTTATTCTGAAGACCATCTTCACTCCACTTTGATTCAACATTCTTCCCCTAGATCTTGGCATCACTTACAGCTGTTCTAATTCCAAAACCAATAATGTGAAAGTCTCACAACCTATTGCTCTTTTTGCCTGTGTTTTCTATTTCCAGTGTAGCTATTCTTAGATCTCATCAGTAGATTTAGACCACTGACACTCTGCTCCTCCTCAGCAGCTTCCTGTCTTCACCGTTTTCACCAATTAAATTGGGTACTATGTCCTTTTCATTTGAGTCCCTTTTCCCAATATGCTAAAATTCCTTGTCCTTGTGTCACATCTCTCTTGAGAAATACACACACATATCCAACCTTGGCCTGTAGTAGCTCAACTATCTATCCAGATACTGCCCGAGAAAATTACAGAATGTAGAATGACTAGTACCTCTAAATTCTTACTCAACAACCTTGCTCTGGGCCTCAACATTGCCTGACATTTCTGCACATAGTTTAGGGATTTCTCTAAATTAAAATTATTTCAACTTACTTACTCTCCCATTTTTTCGAATGGTTATTTTAAACCTATTCTCTTCAAATTTCTGTTCTCATTGTTAGCAGATGGCTTTAACTTCTTCAAAGAGAAAACAGAATCCCTTACTGTAATTCCTTAACTTTTCTAACACCACATCTATTCCTTCACCTCCTCTTCTTTCTCTCTCCTTTTCGCTCTTCACCTTTGCTCTAGACCTCATTCAGCTTCTTTCATGGAACCTTAGTGCTGTTTATTCCTACTCATATCTCTCTCGTACACACACACACACACATGTGCACTTATCTTCTCTCTTCAAGGACCCTTTCGTTTTCCTTAAAACATTAACAACAAAACAAACCTACTTTAATCTTGCTTCATCCACTACTCTCTTTATTCCCTTCCTCTTACTTCAGATACTCATGGAGGATTGGGAGGCTCTCCAATTCTTCCTCTTACCTCTTGGCCAGTATTTATCTAGTTTCTGTTTTTCTTACTCAGATAGTTGAGGTCATTAATCATCTCAAACCCAGTGAATATTTTCTGTTCTTTAATTTTGAAAAATTCTAACACAGTAAAGTTCTTTTCATTGGTTTGTTCAAATTATGATCCAAAATAGGTTCACATATTTCATTTTTTGTTACCTTTTAAGTTTCTTTTTAGTTTAGAAGTCCCTACTTCCCCTCCCCCCACCCCAAAATGTCACACATTCTACATTTGTTTCCTTATAGTGACATTTTTTAGTCCCCATATTTCTGGTGATGTGGAAACTGATCAAGAAATTTTTTACCATATGGGAAGCGAGTATTAGTTGTAGTAAGAAAAAGACATTTGCCATTAAGTAGAAAGAAAATATATTAATAAATTGTAGCCAGACACCTTGCTTTAAACTCTGAGCCCCAGACTTGTTCCCTGTTTTGTTAAAGAGTGAGAAAAGCAAGTGTCAAAGGAGATAAAGGCATACTCCCAGCACCAAACTGAGACTTTGTATCTGTATTCAGTAATTTAAATAATTTTTTTGTTATGTGAATGAATGTGTGTTAGTGACTCAACTGTTGTTTGAAAGTTTAATTTCATGTACCTGGGGTGGGTACCTTCAGAACACATTGATCTGACCTAACAAATTTACCTGTCTTTTAGAATACTTTTAGCACAGAGAAGTGATTTGCCCAAAGTTACACAACCAATAAATAAACTAGAATCCATTTGCGGTTATTTTCATTATATATTTCATGAAGAGAAAAGAAAGAAAAGTATTACTAAGCTGGTTATGTTCAATTAATGTATATTAGCTGGCATTCTTGTGATTTCTTTTTTTCATTTTGTATCCCCTAAACTTAATACTACAAATGTAGTAATCAGGTTGTTTATAAAAATAATTCTGAGGGCCCTCCCTGGTACGCAGTGGGTTAAAGCACAGCACTAAGAAGCTAAAGCCACTACCGCATGAGTTCGAATCCCGCCTGCCCCAGAGGTGATCCACATGGCGTGGCAGACCTCTCCTGACCCGCTCGCTGCTCCCCTCAGCAGTGTACTTCATTGCTCTGCTTGTTCTGCTGTCCTGTCTCTGGTGAATCCTCTCACCCTCCACATCTCTGGCATGTACCCCAGTTCCATATGAATAAATAAATAAATCTTAAAAAAAAAAAAAAAGACAATTGTGCAACTTCATAAACTTTACTTTTCTGTGCCCATATGCATTCTTTTTTTATCTTTTTATTACCATTTTTTTAGGTAGGTATGATATCACACCACTATATATGGTTACAACTTGTGTTCTGGTAATAGACTAGTTACTTTAATATGACATGATTAGAAAAAAAATTAGCATTGTAAAAATTGTCAGTGTTAATTTTCTTGTTGCTGCCATAATAAAAGTTTATTATTTTTGAATTCTGGAGGCTGGAAGAAATGGGTTTCACTGGGCTAAAATATTGGTAGAGCTCTGTTTCTTCTGGAGGCTTTAGAGGGAAATACATTCCCTTGCTGCCTTTTTCAGCTTTTAGAGTTCCTCTGCATTTTTTGGCTTCTCCTTCGATTTTCAAAGTCAGCATAGCCGCTTCAGTCTCTCTGAATCTGATATTCTTCCCTGTGAGGCTTCTTATGACTATGTTGAGCCCAGTCTGGTAAACCCAGGATAACTTCAACTGAATCACATCTGCAGAGTCCCTTTTGCTGTATGAAACAGCATATTTACAGTTTCTGGGAATTAGGATATGAGATATTAAAGGAAAGAGGGCCGTTACTCTGCCTCCCACACCTAGAATCTGAATTGATTCTTTCTTTTTGAAATACTAATTTTGGGGTACATTTTTAGCACTAGGTGGTCTCTTCAGTCAACCTACACAAGCTCCTACTCAGTCCAACCAACTGATAAATACTGCAAGTGCTCTTTCTGCTCCAACGCTATTGGGAGATGAGAGAGATGCTATTTTGGCAAAATGGAATCAACTACAGGCCTTTTGGGGAACAGGAAAAGGATATTTCAACAATAACATTCCACCAGTGGAATTCACACAAGAAAACCCCTTTTGCCGATTTAAGGTATTAATGCTTTCTTTAATCTTCATTTGAAGAGTGTTAGAAATAAAAATTCTATTTTAGGTTAAAATACTCAGATTAAAACAATGCCAATTGCTTGTTTTTTTGGGGGGGAGGTTTGTTTTTAGTACTTCTTGAACATAGTACCATTATACCTTTATTTTAGAAATAAAGGAATTGTAAAATTGAAGTAATTTCTTACATATGTGTGTTTGAAAGTGACCAGACTATCACTGAAGGAGGTGATTATTATTTTACCTAGGGGAAAAATTGCTAATAGGAGGAGAATGGTCTGCTTGGCAGCTCTAAAGGTGAGATCCAAAACTAGAAGTTTTAGTGGTCATCATCTGTCATTGACCAGTACACTCTGCCTAGCATATAGGATGTGTAATTTTGAATGTATGATCCTTTTGTCATTGGATGTCAGAGCCATTAAAGCAATAGTCCATTTTCTTTTTGTGTGTACCTACCAACCTTTTCATTTGAGATTTGAATTTAATATAGGTTAACTTGGCAGTGTACTTTTCATATCAAGACTCTTTTGAATTTGGAACTGTATCACTCTAATCAATGTGTACATAATAAGCCTGTTCGGAACTGCAGGCTAATGATCAAATGCTTTAACATGATCAAACAGCCAAAAGTAATCAACTATCTTTTTAGAGAACATATTTATCTCATCACTCTAAGAAAAGATGACGTATATCTTTTCAGTCTATAGGGCTGAAATTGTTAACTTTTGTTTAGTGACAGTGAGGTATAATACTATAGTAGACGTAGTAATTGAATATAACAATTTTTTAAGTTGATGTATAGCATGCATATGGTAAAATCTATGAAACTCATCTAGAGTGAATTTAAATTTTTCAAAAGTTGTGTGTAAGTGGTGACAGAAAACACTATCTAAAAGAATAATTTTTTAGAAAGGTATATAGTTTATTATATTTAATATTATGTAAAAAACTGACCTGTTTCAGGTTTATGTTAATAAGACTATAAAATGATGTATTCATTCTTTATAGTTAGTATCCATAGATTGACAACATGATTTTTAAAGTATTTATTAGGGGCCCTGCCTGGTGGTGCAACGGGTACACCAGCACAGCTATTGCAGCCACTACAGCATGAGTTCAGTCCCAGGCCAGGCAGATAATCCACATGGTGTGGAGATCTCTCCTCTCTGGCCTGCTGCTCCCTTCGGCAATGTATCTCAGTAGATCTGCCTGTTCCGTTCCCCACTCTGTCTCTGGTGAATCCTACATCTCTGGCCTATACCCCAGTTTATGTGAATAAACAAATATATCTTTAAAAAAATAAGTATTGTAAATAATTTTCTATATAGTTAAACTTATTCCATAAGTCAGATATATAGTAAAATAAATTTTATCCATGACTTTGGCAGACATTTTTATAACAGGCACAGTTGTTCCAACATTGTCCAGAAAACACCTAACAGTAATGGTTATCAAAATTTCTCATTGGAGGAAGCCATTTAGTTATTCTATTGAAGAGGAAATTTTAAGTTTTTATTAACATTTGGGTAAAATATTTTCTCTTTATACTTGTGTGCCCTTTTCCTGCAAAGAGTGGTGGAAAAATCATTCCCTTCAAGCATTAAGCTATTTTTCTTGTTTTAGCAGATAATTAAGTTATTAAACATCTGAATTAAGATCTGTATATATTTTTGATATTGTTTATTTTGTCATTCCACAGGCAGTAGGTTATAGTTGTATGCCCAATAATAAAGATGAAGATGGGCTAGTGGTCTTAGTTTTCAATAAAAAAGAAACAGATATTCGAAGCCAGCAACAGCAATTGGTAGAATCATTGCATAAAATTTTGGGAGGACACCAGACCCTTACTGTAAATGTAGAGGGTATTAAAACATTACCAGATGATCAGTAAGTATACACTAAATATACTATTTTTGTGTGCTGTGGTCCCAAAAGAGAATGAGCAACAGTTTTTGTTGCTAAAGCACAAATTAAATCTCAGAGCAGCGTATTATTTCTCAGCTAGTCATTTTTCAGTATGTATAGAAACATTTAAAAGCTTTTTCTTAATCTTATTTTCTTAACTTACTGAGTGCTAATTATAACATCTTAACATTTTTTCATTCACAAAGAGAAATATTTATCACAGTTGTGTATAACTCAAGAGCCACAAAGACACAACTGGAAAGTTTTGACTGATTACTGCTCATGTGCATTCATGAAAGAATTGCTCAGTTAACTTCCTGTGTATCATTTTCAGACTTTGTGTCAAGACATTTCCTTAGGATATTTTGGATAGAGAGCTATTAATGAGATAGTGACTGAAAACAGATTTTGCTGCTGCTTCTTAATTGTAATTATGTCCATAAAGCTTCATCAGATCTCCCAAAGTCCTTCCTGATTCTGGATTAAAAAAAAAATAAGTAACATTTACATAAGACTTTGCAGCTGAGCAAATCTTTTACAAATATTATTTGCACGTCATATTTTAACTGTTATCATTTAAGGTGAGCATAACATTAAGGTTCGTAATCTTCAAGATTTACAAAAAAATATTTTCATTCTCATAACATCTGAATTCAGCTACCCTTTGAAAAGTCACTTGCTGCATTGATACTTGTGGCTATGAGTTATAAACTATATTTTATAACTTAGTTATTTTTCTCACAGGACAGAAGTTGTCATTTATGTTGTTGAACGCTCTCCAAATGGTACTTCGAGAAGAGTTCCAGCTACAACACTATATGCCCATTTTGAACAAGCCAATATAAAAACACAATTGCAACAACTTGGGGTCACCCTTTCTATGACTAGAACAGAACTGTCTCCTGCACAGATCAAACAGCTTTTACAGAATCCTCCTGCTGGTATGTTTCTAGAGCTTATAAAGTTGAGAAAATGAATGATTTAGTATTTGATTACCGATATTAAATAGTTTCCTTTTTGGGTGATAGTTTTGAATATTTTCATTGTCTCCATTTACTTTTTTTTATTATACATCTAATGTTTTTAGACTTTGAGAAATGATAGACTCAAGGAAAATAGCCTATAATCTACCCACCCACTATTTTGGTTTTTTCCTAGTTTATCTCATTTTTACTGAATATGCAAATAAGCCTGATTGTGTTATCACCATAAAAGACACAAGAGGCATAACTAGATAGGTGAAGTAACGGATCATCTTTACTTCCCTTCCACTGAAGTGTAACTATTAGTAACTACCTGTGATTTTTTTTTTTTTTTTAGATTTATTTATTTATGCATACAGAGCTGGGTACAGGCCAGAGGCTCGGGGCGGTGAGAGGCTTCACCAGAGACAGAGTGGGGAGTAGAACAGGCAGATCGACGAAGTACACTGCCTAGGGGAGCAGCGGGCGGGTCAGGAGAGGTCTGCCACGCCATGTGGTCACCTCCGGGGCAGGCGGGAATCGAACTCATGCGGAAGTGGCTTTAGCTTCTCAGTGCAGTGCTTTAACCCGCTGCGCCACCAGGGAGGGCCACTACCTGTGATTTTTAACAAGCAAGTACACTTAAGTTCTTTAAAAAAAGGATTCTGCACTGTACATTTATTGCAGCTTACCTTTTCACTTAACCGTATTTCTTTACTTTCCATATTAGGACAAGAAAGTAAATCTTAGTGTTTCAGAAACTGTGTCATTATGAATGCACCTTACTTCACTTAACCACTAGTGGAAGCAAACCTTTTCACTATTAAACTTTACAGCAACTGATATTCTACTGAATAATATCTGCAAGCACATGAGTGTGTATTTTGTTTAGAATAAATCTGATACTAAAATTTGAGTTGATTGTATATACTTTGTAAATACTTGTTAAATACTGCCAAATTGCTCTCCAAAGAAAATTTTATGATTTACATTCATAATCAGAATGTGTTACTTTCCTCATATTTTCATTCTACTATTCCTTTTGCTCTGTATTTGCCAACAGTAGAGTTTACCACCATGGTGCTGAGAAATATATTTACATTTATATATCTTGATTACTAAAAGTTGAACATTTTTGTATATTTATTAAACATATTAAACATACTAGCCACATGTTTAATTTTTTGTGAATTACCTATTCATGTCCTTTGCCCATTTTCTATTAGATTCTTTTTGCCTTTTTGAATTATAGGAGCACTTTCTGTAGTCTATGAGTTAATTTATTCTATAGAATATAGGTATTTCCTTTCAGTATCTACTTTTTTAAGCCTTATCCTGTGAAATTTTTTTATATTGGTTGTATTTGACAGTTATTTTTCTTAACAACTTGGCATTAGGAAGGCCTTTCCCAGAAAAATAAAGATAAAAAAATTTATATTAGAAATATTTCTTTTTTATGATAGGTGTTGATCCTATTATCTGGGAACAAGCCAAGGTAGATAACCCTGATCCTGAAAAGTAAGTATCTTCATCTTCATATAAGAATTAATGTTATAGGGATGTAAATATTAGCTGTTAATTCTCACATTTGGGGTGTTTATTTTTATTGCATTGTAAGGCTGTAAGCAGCATAGTGTGGTGAAAATATTAAACTTTTTGAGTGCCAGTCCCCTAGTTATATTTCCACTTAAAAACATTTTAAAATGGAATTTCTGACTCACACTGTATTTCCTTATTTGTAAAATATTTACAAGTATTTGTTATAAGAAATTTCTGTGGTGTAATATTGTCTTAGAATCCTAGAAATTTAATGTGAGTTTATATGAATGTTGTTATGCAAACCTTAACTTCTTACATTTTATAATGATAGACTTATAGTCTGAGAATTGACTACTTGTATTTCTTTAGGTTAATTCCTGTGCCAATGGTGGGTTTCAAAGAACTTCTTCGAAGACTGAAGGTTCAAGATCAGATGACTAAGCAACATCAGACTAGATTAGATGTGAGCATCTAGTTTCTTTCTTTGACCCTGGGAGTAAGAGTAATGAGAGGGATTGCAAACATTTCCTTTTGCCATGCAAACTACTATTTTGTTTTACAGGGAAACGATATAATGTTTACTGCAAATGAACAATTACAGTTTTATATAACTACTTTTACCCTTTACCTTATATCACAATATAAGCCATTGCCATAGATTGAGTTATGGATAGGGAAAGTTATGAAATTAATTCTGAATGGAAAACATTAATGAAATGGGATTTTAACTCAGTTTGTAAGGTTAAAATTTCATAAGACAGACAGTGGTATTTCAGGACAGTCAAAAGCAAATAAAATTCCAGAAGCATAAAAATATGTTCAATTATGTAATTAACACCCCTTTCTCTCCATTCTGATGACTCCAAGCACTCTGTAGGGGTTACTGGTTTATACCATATTTTCCAAGAGTAGTTAGATTAGGGTATACTTGTTTATTATGGCCCCTCTTGGGTGTCACTTTTTAGATCTTTTCCCATTCATTACATGATTATTGGCTGTACTCCATAGTATTTCAAATTCCTTTATTATTTCTGAAAAAAAGTTTATTTTTCTGTGTACCTATTCTCATTACTAAATATCCTAAAACTCAAAAAGAAATCTTTGAATAGTACCTTTTCATTTTTAGATATACAAAAAGAGAAGAAATGCAAATGAAGATTTAAAGGGGAAGTTAAAAAGCAAATCTCAGACTCATCTTAGAATTAGACTTGGCATCTAGAACATGATGAGTCATGGCAGCTATATTTGATTTGTATTTAAAAAAATTTTTTGAACAGATTATTTCTGAAGATATTAGTGAATTACAGAAGAATCAAACTACAACTATGGCCAAAATTGCACAATACAAGAGGAAACTCATGGATCTTTCCCATAGAACTCTGCAGGTAGTAACTGGATTTTTTTTTTTTTTCAAACATTTATTCACAATACATATATGTTAGAAAATAAACTATGGATTTTTGTAAAGAAAAAAAAAACTAAAAGGAAATAACATCGTAATCATCGTAATCTGAAATTAAAAGTACCAAACTCTTAGTAAGATCTAGATGTTTGAGGTGTCAGAGGATTAGGTGAGGAGAGCAGAAATAAATTCAGATCTTATTGAGGGGGTGAGGGAGAAGGCAGTGAAGAAATCATGTTGTAAGGGTAGCATGAATCAGATCGTTAGTATCTTGTTTTCATAAATTCAAAAAGTAATAAAAAATACTGTCAATTTTTAGTGCTGGTAAAGAATAGTATAACCAATAGTGAATGGAAGCAATTTTACAGAGCCTTCGAAGTAGAGGACGTAACAGAATGATTAGCAATAAAAAAAATTGTAAAGCTTCTTTGAAACGACAATAGCTAAGCACGACATGAGTCTAAACAAGGACAAAAGGATTTCTCTTGTGTATGATAAAAAGAAAAAGAAGTGGGGAGAAAGGAAGCATTACCAGATGCACACAATAGCTTAAGAAAATAACAGCATGAAAATTTGTCAATTCTGGGCATTTCATATAACTGGATTCATGTAATACATGGTCTTTTGTGACTGGCCTCTTTTGCATAATATGTTTTCAAGCTTTACCTGTGTAGTAGCATGTAATAGTATATCATTACTTTTAATTGCTTGAATACTCCATTATATGAATAAACTGCGTTATTGTTGTTTTCTAATTGATTTATGCATACCAGAACTTGGGGGTACAGTTCAGAGGTGTGGGGCTGGGAGGTGGTGAAAGGAGGGCAGGAGAGGTCTGCGCCATGTGGGTCAGCTCCCTGACTAGGAGTCAAATTTGTGCTGCCGTGGCTGCAAATAGATGCATAGTGCTGCACTTTAACCTGTTTGGCCACTAGGGAGGGCCCTGTATTTCTACTTATTGATAAACATTTTAGTTGTTTCCATTGTCTGGATATTATACCTACTGCTGCTGCTAATATTCATATGCAATTGTTTGTGTAGACATTCCTTTTATTTCTTTTGGGTACATAAACCTGGAATTGGAATTGGAATTGCCTGTGTTTTAACTTTTGAGACCTGTTTTCCAGAGTAGCTGTACCATTTTACAGCTTTGCTTTTAGTACATTCCAAAGTAAAAATCCATAAGCATGATTAAATTCTAATAAATTATGCAAATTATGCTAAGTGAAAAAGCCAAACTTCAAGGGTATCCTTTTATATGAAATGAACAGGCAAAACCAGAAACAGCTACAGATCAGTACTTGGTAGGGGCAGAAAAGAACTTTAAGGGGTGATGAAAATACTTTAACTTGATTGTGGCAATGGTTAACATGGGTATGCTTGTCAAAATTCATCTTAAAAGGATATATTGTGTATGGATTATATTTCAATAACTCTTAATACCAAAACAATCAGAAATGTGTAACATCTAAGTGAAATATAAACAAAGACACTCCATCTACTTATATCCTAGAAGAATATATTGTGACCAAGTAAGGCTTATTTCAGAAATGCAGGGTTCTATAATACTATAACAAGTTACTATATCAACGCATTAAAGGCAAAAGTAGTCTAAGGAGCAAAGCAGTAAAATCCCATTTAGACATAAAACAGCCCAGAAAATAAAACTATGCATATGTGTGGGTAAAACTAAATAGCTACTTGCAAAAAAATTTTAGGCTACTATCTTACATCACATGTAAAAACTTAACTAAAAATGGGTTAAAGGTTTGTACCCAAGACTTGAAACCATAAAATTAAAAGCATAGGCTGGAGCTACTTGATACCATTCATCACCAAGAGCAAAGCGGACATCAAGAGTGTAAGAGAATTTGCTTTGCTTTTACCTATTCTCATGTTGTATTGCTTCCTAAGTGTAAATTCTTTTAAAAACATCCAGTAAAAATTTTACTTAACATTTGATATAGCAAGACTTAGTCTTAAACTTGGTATTAAAACTGTCTTTGTGCTGTTTTTTAAGCATAAAAAAAAGCATAACACCACTTTAAAACAATGTTAAGTGTACATCAATCTACTGTCACTTGTCTAACAGAAATGGACAAACATAATTGGTATCTGGAACTGTTCATTGGTAGTGTATTATTCCGGGGTTTTCTTCCAACCCACTTGTAACTCTTGCATAACTGAAAAGAGATGACTCCTGGTCTTGGTGTGTGTCTGCTTGTGTAGGTCCTAATCAAACAGGAAATTCAAAGGAAGAGTGGATATGCCATCCAAGCGGATGAAGAGCAGTTACGAGTTCAGCTAGATACAATTCAGTGTGAACTAAATGCGCCTACTCAGTTTAAGGTAACTATTTATCAGATCATAAATTTAGAGGTGGTTTCAGGTGGATCTGTAGATAAATGTCACATGCAGTTCAAAAGAGGAATTTTGCATGTTTAATAAAAACAAGTATTTTCTTGACTCAAAGCTTTTCTAAAATACACTCTTGATTGTGTTATTTTAGGCTTGTATTACTATTTCAACGGATGTATGGGGGAGAACTGCACAGTTTGCATACTGTGCCTATCAGATTAAAAGAAAACATTTTTTTAGAAGTGGTTATCTTTGTTGGGTATTGTAATTTGACTCAGTCTTATTTTAGGGCCGACTGAATGAACTGATGTCCCAAATCAGGATGCAGAATCACTTTGGAGCAGTCAAATCTGAAGAAAGATACTACATAGATTCCGATCTCTTACGAGAAATCAAACAGGTAAGTGTTGGCACTGGAGTGCCATTATAAAAAGCTGAATTCACTACTCTGAATCTGTATCTGTTATGATGGTTCAAGTGCAAAAAAACAGAAAACAAATGTTGGTGAGGGAAGAACCTTTGTGCATTACAGGTGGCAATGTAAAATGGTACAGCTGCTGTGGGAAATAGTACAGCAGCCCTTAAAAATTAAAAAAAATTACTGTATGATTAGCAATTCCAGTACTAGGTAGATAACTGAAAGAATTGAAAGCTAGGACTCAAACAGATAAACTTGAATTTCCCAAATTCATAGCATTATTCACAATAACCAAAATGTGGAAACAATGCAAGTGGTCATGGGTGGCCGAACACAGTGCATGGTATTTACACCAAAGGATTATTCTTCAGCCTTGAGATGAACTTCTGATATATACCCCAACGTGGATGAAGACATTAATAAGCCATTTTAAGCGGATAAATTATGATTCCACTTACATGAGGTAGCTGGTAGTCCAATTCCAAGACAGTGTAGAATGGTGGTTGCCAGGCACCAAGGGGTGGGCTAATGAGGAGTTAGTATCTCATGGGAACAGAATTTCATGATGGGAAAATAAAAACATTATAGAGATAAGTGATAGTAATTGTGGACCAACACTATTAATGTATTTTGGGCTTATATTACTGCTGTAATGTACATTTCAAAATGCTTAAAATGGAGAATTCTGTTATGTATACATTACTACCAATAAAAAAATCTCTTCCCTAAAAAGATGAATCCAATGGTGGTGGCTGTATTAAAAATTCCCTCGACCCCACTATTCAATATAGCAGTCGCACCTGGAATGTCATTAGAAATGCCAACCTCAGGTCTCACTTTAGATGACTTGTTCCCATTTTTTCACTATGTGACTTGTACGCATGCTAAAATTTGAGAAATAGCTGCATTGTATCTTCTTAACCTGTATGCCACATAATTAGCATATATATAGCATATATATTAGCCACACACACATATATATGCATCCAGAATTTAAGTTAATGTTCACTATATTTGATTTTATTGCTTCCTGAGAATGTATCTTACTGAAAATCATATAAAAGTGTCAGCTAAAGACATAGTTGAAGTGTGTAAGTATGTACTCCCACCATATTTAGTTATTAAGTGCTATATTACTAGTAAAATAGCGGGGGAAAGTCTTATCATATGAGAGAAGTTTTTAAATTATCAATGATTTTTTTCTTCTTTCTAGCATTTGAAACAGCAGCAGGAAGGCCTCAGCCATTTGATTAGCATCATAAAAGATGACCTAGAAGATATAAAGTTGGTAGAACATGGATTGAATGAGACTATTCACATCAGAGGTGGTGTCTTTAGTTGACAGTGTACAACCTGTGCCAAGGGCTTGTGAAATGTTTCTTTTTGTTACATCAGTCTTTCCTTAAGAATGAAGCTGACCACATGGAGGGGGGGAACACAATCTTCTGGTTTGTTTTTTGTGAAGGATTCTGAGAAATTTTTGTTTTTTTAAATCTGAACGTAATTATCACATTACAACTCTTCAAAGATAGCCTTTGAAAGTATGAAGATGTACTTTATAAAGAAAAGTACATAATTACCAGAAAATATGTACTGTCATACAGTTTCACAACAGCATTGTTAAAAGTAATCAGTGTTTAATGATTATTCTCTATTGAGCCCATATTCTGCTTTCCATAGCAAGTAAATATGAGTTATCTGCTTTGCACATAGCAAAATAAACTGTATAACTACTTGGCTATTGGAGATTTGTTCTTCAGAATGTAAATGTACATCAGCTTTTATATTTGGGAATTCACTTGTGGGAGGAGTAAAGAAAATCCAAGAATATTTAATGATTAATGTGGTTTTCTTTTCGTTCTATAAAGATTGGAAAATATATTTTTATATTATTTTACTTGTTTGGAATTTACAGAACACAGCTAAGCAATTAGGATGTAACAAAATTACATTTTATCATTTTTACAACTTTTGTTTTTTAGACCTTTATTTCTAAAGATGAAAACAAATAAATTCTTTATTATTACTTTTATATAATTCTGTCTGTTGCTTTGTTTCTTTGACTTTGGGAGAATTAATCATTTGTGCCCACACGAGTACTGAATCAATCACAATTCAAGAACTTTAGGTTTTCCTTGTTTTTGAGTCTGATATTTTTTCCTTCCTAGGGAAAAAATATCAATGCTGATATACTTTAACTAGCACATGCAAGAAAAATTTAATTCAGATGTCATCAAGGATAAAGAATGCCCAAATTTAACAGATCTTCTAAGTACATACTGTACATCTGGACTGCACCATCATGGCCCCCCCCCGGGAATGCTTTAACTTGGTACGTTCATGTGAAGCTGTCTACGAGGTGCCATGACTGGTTGCTGCATGTACTGTGGAGAGGGTGAGACTGATGCACTACGTAGCCAGAGGCTTTCCTCTGAGAGCCACATGGCTTGCAACTGCAGACTACAGCACAGTAGTGTAGGAGACTCAAACTGATCATTTTTTCCTGTTCTGGTTAGCCACTGGAAGTTTGCAGTCCTTCTTTCAAGTTTATGGCACGCAGATTTGCTGTACTACTCTAGATACTACCTTCCATCATACTTTCCTATTCACTGTCCTAACTCCAACAGTGTTGAGAGAGGAATGCCTTTCTCTCCTTGTTTTCTTTTTGACCCAGAAAACAAGCTATCCTGTCATCCACATAGACGCTTCTGTCCCTTTGCAGTGCACTTCCACCCTCCTGGTAGTAGGAAGAGTTCTTTATCCAACTGATGGGAACTGGTACTCGCTGACCACATTCTCTAGTGGACAGGGCATACTCTGTTCACTTCTAGCCTCTCATTTTACATGCTGTGATACTGTTAGGTTCTTAATCATGGCATAAATACCCCAGCAAAGGCCCGGGGCTTGCCTTTTAAAGATAGGTCCAGTCAGTGCCTCGGTTTGTGTCACATCAGTGACTGGCACAAGGCAGATTTCTTGTCCTAGTACATGCAGCTGGTTAGGTAACAGATTTGGTCTGTACCCACCCAAACAAGTGGTAACTAAATTCTTGATTCGGTTGGAGAGGATGAAAAAGACCCATTTTGACTTTAGGACGAAGTTGTATTCTCCAGCATAGTTTCAGAAGTGGTGTTTAGTATTTAGTTGGCCAAGGGTTCTTATGGACATGAAGAGGTAAGTGATAGGAAAAAAACACATTAAACCCCCAACACCTAGTTTTGATTTTATGCAGTTTATCTTTGAAATGGATCTTAAATCCTTTTTGAAACACAAAGTATAGGCAAGCATCAATTACCAAAGCCTACATTGGGCACTATTCAACTACCACGCTCCCTTGGGACACTGCAAGAAGTACTCATGAAGGGAAGATGAATTGACACATGATACTATTTGAACTCAAAAGTTTGATTTTGCAAAGATAATTAGGATCTGTACAATTTTAATTGAATCAAATTCATGCTAAGCACTAACATTAGCTCTCTTAAAACCTGACAAGTATAGTGAAATTATGTCTAATAACCTTAAAAGTCTTTTATTGAATTCAATCAGAAGTATACAGATAGGGTTTTGTTTTCTCTCTTTTTTTTTTTTTTTGGTAATCCTAGTATAGGAATAAGTGAACAACGAATTTTATGAGATCTGGCCAGACTTTATGAATTTGCAAAATGAATAACAAATACACAATTCTCATTCTGTCAACTACCTTTGACCAACAAGTGGAAAAAGCTTTCGTTTTGGTGTCTTTATGTGAGATCCCTGTAGTGTAATTCAAGCAATAAAGAATTTATCAGGCTACAGGGCTATGTAGTAACATAGCAGAAGCACTGAATAAAATGACGACTGTCCCAAAAGGTGGAAGCAGCGTTTGGCCAGATGATGCAGAAGGATGGGTTTTGGGACCTGGAACTGGATCTGGGCCCGGACGTGGAGCTGTTAAATGAAAACACACAGTCACTGACACATCATTTTCATTATAAAGTATCATGCACTATAGCATGTGTGCTGAATATGTACAGAAATATTCAAGGTAGAAACTTTTCCTGAAATGCTTCTAAGCAGGTACAGCTTTTGAATAAAGTTCATTACAGATTTCAGACTATTCCAGTTTATGTGTGCGTGTGTGTGCATACATGCTTACGTAGTTTTTATCGAGGATTTCACAAGCTTTCTAATTATCTCATGGAGACAGTTCTCCAGAATTTCTTAGCAATTTTCTACTTTCGCTTCTTGTATATTTTGGGTTTAAGTATTTCAAGTAGAGTACACGTCATACGCATATTCTAATTGCTACCAATAAACAAGTGACTAACCACAAATTAATTATAGTTGCATTTGTGTCTTGCAAGCTGACTCTTCATATATACACAAAACAGTGCCCTGGAGGAAACTGCTGCTCCAACTTGAACTAACAGAGAAACAGAGTTCACCCAACTCAGGATTATGTTTCACACTGCCCTTAACCCAGAAAACTGCTGGCTCTGTTCTGTTTACATAGATTGTAAGGGATCTGACTGGAAATTTTCAAATGGGATCACCACTCAAAACTTAGGGAAAAGGGGCAGTAAATGTTACATATGTGTTACCAATATACTAGACATAATTATGAACGAAGTTCTTTGTACAGATGGGGAAATGAACAAGGCAGATACACTATGCAATAGTTTTTTACTGTACAGCAGTGGTTCTCAAGGGAGCAATATTGCCCCCTACAGGGCTGTTTGGGAGTTATCAGTATTTTCGATTGTGCTACAGTGGAGTGTCATAATGCAATATTGGGATAATCTTGCACAATGAAAATTATTGGCCCACTTTGCAACAAAAGTTGCAAATGCACTGTTGAACATACACAATATTAAATGCTTATTTTTGAGGATCAGACTCAGAATTTGTATCAGTTACATAAAAACTTTGGATAGTTTTGATGAATAAACAGTTTCTCTACCCACTCTTTCCTCTACTTACATTATTCATTTTGTTAAAAACACTATACAGAACGCTTATTTTGCATAGAATAGCTTCTACTTCATTTGCATAAGTAAATACAATCTTACATCTGGTATAATCTAGGCATTTATATGCTGGAGTGTGAGTCATCTGTTAATAGTTAGGCCATAACTTTATAGGTGCACTTACGTCTTACCTGTAAATTTTACTTCATGGGTAGTAAGTATAAAAGCTTAATAATTAAGATTTGTTATAAAAGGTGAGACTAGGATCAATAGGATTGAGAACCATCTTTCTACATAGTTAAAAATGATTGCCAAAAAAAGATTGCCTAAGAAATTCCAATTGTTGGCCCTCACTAGTGGTGCAACAGGTTAGGATGCAGTACTGCAAGCTGGCCGCAGCCGCTTCATTGCGAGTTCCATCGCAGGCCTCGGAGGTGAGCCACATGCCACAGCAGACCTCTCCTGACCAGCCCACTGCTCCCCTCAGCAGTGTACTTAGTTGATCTGCCTGTTCTGCTTCCCACTCTGTCTCTGGTGAATCCTCTCACCGCCCCTGCACCTCTGGCCTGTACCACAGTTGGGTATGCATAAATAAATAAATCTTTTTTAAAAAATTAACAATTGCAGGTCTCCCTGGTGGTGCAACAGGTTAAAGCGAAGCACTGTAAAGCTACCTGCAGTCACTGTAGCACAAGTTTAGTCCCTGACTGGGGAGGTGACCCACATGCAGACCTCTGGCCTGCTGCTCCCCTTAGCAGTGTACTTTGGTACATCTGCCTGTTCTGTTCCCCACTCTATCTGATAATCCTCTTACCCTACCCCCACATCTCTGGCCTGTACCCCAGTTCTTACATGCATAAGTAAATAAATCTTTAAAAAAAAAAAAAGATTCCAATTGCCCCCCACCCCAGCGACCATATATGCACATTACAAGCATTTGGATTTTGGGTATGACAATCTCTCGAAACTGTTCCTTTCATTTAGGTAAAATATATTGCTTTTTTATAATGCAGAAAAAGACAACAAAGGAAATACACTAGGATTGTTGCTATTTCCTTGACTTTTGTCATTTAAAATATAAACAGGTTTGAGTTTAATTGCACTGTACACCTATTTATCCAGAAGAGAAAATATCTAAATGACTACACAAACTTGTTTATATATTTGGGAACGGGTGTGAAGGGTAGGCTATTAGGTTAAGAAGTATGTGTGCCTGGAGCTGGGGGAAGGGTTCAGTTTTTACTCGTTTACACTCTTTTCATTATGTATTAAATTTATAAAATAATTTTTCTACATATTGAACTCATTCCCAATACAACTTTAAATCATACCTGAGATTGAGTGCTTTCTATATATCACGTATTGTTCAATTGCTTTATGTACATCATCACTTTTATTTGTTGTGATCCTGGCAATATGCACAATTATTATGCAATATAAAACAGTACCAGCAAAACCCTCTAGCTGATTTGTCAGCAGATATGGGAATTGGTAAGCACCCTTTCTGGCATCCCTACTACCATTGCCCAGCAGGTAGTGAAAAGGTTCTGGAATTTTTATCCCTAAGTGAGAAGAAAGTTTTCAACGACTTGCTTTGCACCACTGAGTATAATCTCCAAGTTACCTCATGAGCTCAAGTGATAGAATCGCCAAAGGCCCCCCTGCAGTGTACCACTGACTTTTCATTTAAGTTCTGGCTACATGAGTCTTGTGTAAATCCATGCCAGGCTTCAAGTGCCTTCTGCCATGGTGCCACACTGAGTCTGTCTATGGGCCAGCACAACTGTTACTAGATGCTGAGATGTTAGCCAAGAGTTTCTGCGTGAACTCGACATCTTTATTGAGTAACTTTGGTACAGAACCTGGAAGATGCAGCCATCTGCTTATTTTTGAGCATATTCCCCAGCAATTACCATCCTGCTCCGCACACAGCGGGCGAGGAACGCATGAGTGCTAGGAAAGAAAGGCACTTCACCTACTCCCCCTGCCCCAGCTAAATATTAGGAGACTGACAGCACTATGGGGGATTATTTAAATAATAAGTAACTGTCTCGTGAAAATATTCCCTTGAAAGCTGCAGAGACTAGAGAGAAAGCTGTCTTACCAGGTATCTGGGTAGAGTCATAGCTCTTCATACCTAAAACCAGAAAGAAGTGTCAGTGAGTGTAAATTTCTGCATATTTAATGTTCCCTTTGTCTATATCTCCTCCTCTCTAACCCTAAAGAAGAAACACACACACAACATGAACCCTGTTTAGCGGCTCTTCACTCTGACTAGACAAAGCTCTGAAGTCCTGGGTATGAACTTCATGGACTTGAGTGACCGGGGTGCTGTCTCCAATTTTGTCTTCCCGAAACAGTCCTAGCGCTTCCTATTTCAAATGTAACAGTACTGAGTTTAAGACAGTTTAGCTTAGCTCCACTGTGCTGTGGTTTGCTAGCTCTGTGACCTCTGAACTTCAATTCCACATTAAGCAGAAATACTTACCTGGCAGATTTGTAGTAATGAATGATTAAAGGAGATATACCAAGAAAATACTAGTACACTGTGTGGGATGTCATAAAGGCTACACCTTTTCTCAATCTCTCCCTGTCCACGAAGGTCCTCGTCTTAGAAATCCTCACATCCCCTCCACACCGTGTAGCCAGTAAAAAGATGACTTACCCGGGAAGTTAGTAGACTCTTGTTTTTTCATTCCTAAAGATAAGAATAGAAACTATTTAGTAAAGAATGCAATTAGCTTGAAGTATTTTTTTAACCTTTTATTTAGCTGTTTGTAATGGAAAACTCTGAAAGTTTTGAGATATGGCAGGGACAGACAGGGTAAAAGGAGACAAGACTTATTTAACCCACTGATGCCTGGCTGATTTATACGACACAGGAACACTCCTAAAACAACTTTTGTTGATCTTTTTTATTTTTTTAATTCAATCCAAAGACTGACCTAATGTCTAAGGAGAAGTGTTTTACAAAGTTGGAATTATTAAGTGGATACATTTTTTTAAATAGTTTTTAGAGATAATTTCAAAAATACAGGAATTTATTAAAAATTACACTTTTGCAATACTTCATCTCAATCTGCTCTGTGTGTGTATACACACATGTACACTCTAATTAGGCTGATACTATGTCCTGTATGCTTTATATATTTATTTTTGTTACTGTATTCTAAGCACTTTCTCATCTTTATTTTATAAACAAGATTTTTAGAGATTGTTAGGTTCTCATTACAAGAATTTTTTAATTATGTAAGGTGACCAAAGTTAAAATTGATTTTTAAGTTTAGCTTTTTTAATATAATTATATATAACAATACTTGACTTTTGGACACTAAGGTTATTTATAAATTTTTGTTCCCATAAAACTTTGAAACACTGTATCTTAACCTTCACATTTATTTTTAATTGCTTTAGGACAAATATCAAAAAGAGTTATATAATGAGTCAAAGACAGGACATTTTTAAGGCTAGTAATAGCAAACTGCCCCCCAGAAAAGTCACTCTAATTTATAATCTCATCAGTAATTTATATTCCTAAACTAGTACTTTTGTGGACATTTGAATAATAACCATATTTTTAAAAAAGGACGGAAACAAAAACTTGAGGATGAGCTGTAAGTTGGAATGTACTAAGTAAGTGGATATAGCTAATAACATCTTCTAGATCGCTGGAGGCAGAAGTAAATTCACAAAATTATTCATGTAGGGGAAAAATGCCATTTTTGTTTCCTTACCCAGCACCTTAAGGTGACAGTTTGTGACATAGTCACACCTTCCTCAGCCCACATAAGAGCATGAAACAGACTACCACTCTCTGGATCTCGTTCCTTCCTTCAGTTTGTATCTGCTCTGCTAGGATAACATGAAGATTGTTTTATGGGAGACAGAGACTGCTGCCCTATCATCTTTCGAAAGCACTCTACCTGAAGTTCGGGAGTATCTCTGCTATGCCAAGCTAGTAAAATGAAGTAGGGGCTGCCTTCTTTTCCACTTCTTCCTACGCCAGGGCCACCTCTACACCCTCGTTAGAAGTATTTTACAAATGTAAGCACCCATACAGTTTATCATAATGTCTTACCAGAATCTTCAAGCTTTTGGTTTTTCTCACCTATATTGCAAAGAGAAGCTTATCAATTTTGATGACAGAAAAAATAAGTGGGTCTTACACTAGCTGAAGTAAAACTAGATTCAGGTAATCTGGCCACAGAGAACCACTTGGTGCCTCCAATAATGTAATGCTACTAAATTTAAGTGTCAGCCATCTAAATGTACCTTGACTAACTGGATGGAAGTTTCTCTGGCCCCCTCTAAGGAGAAACATCACAGACGACTCTATCTCTGGAGATCTCAAAATGAAATAGAAAAAGTGTTTTGAAGAGTTAGCTGAGGTCCATGTGACGTGAGCAGTAAAACCTGTGGTTGCAGTGGCTCAGAAGTGTTGCTCAGCAAGCCCTGAGTCCTGCAGGAAAGTCAAAAAACTGATTCCTACATGGATCAAACACACGAGGAACTTGAATGTCAAGAAGCAATTTGGTTCATATCACCATAGTGTAAACTAAGGAAGGAAAAAAGCCTCTAGTCAAATGATACCAAATTTAGGCTTATTTGAGAGATGCAAATGACTAACTTTCCTGCTTTGTCGGGATGTTCACAGTCACACAGGCTAATCTCAACCTGCTCCAGAGCAACTAGCTCTTCAGGTCTCAACAGCTTCATCCCCAGAATGTTTCCATGTTGTTCAGATCTCCAGCCAACACTTCCTTGTAGGATGTAAATTTCTCCCCAACAGATTTGTTTTCCCCTTCACATCTGCCAAGTTATTCCTTATCTGCAAAGGAATTCTCTTTCTTCCCCCTCAGAGTATGGTCGGTTGGAAAGAGCTACTACCCATCTGTGTAAGGGTTACCTTTAAAAACTAAAGCACAGGCCCTCCCTGGTGGCGCAGCGGGTTAAAGCACTGCACTGAGAAACTAAAGCCACTTCCGCATAAGTTCGATACCCGCCTGCCCAGGAGGTGACCACATGGCGCGGCAGACCTCTCCTGACCTGCCTGCTGCTCCCCTCAGCAGTGTACTTCATCGATCTGCCTGTTCTACTTCCCGCTCTGTCTCTGGTGAATCCTCTCACCTTCTACATCTCCGGCCTGTACCCCAGTTCTGTACGAGTAAATAAATAAATCTTTAAAAAAAAAAAAAAACTAAAGCACACTTACCAGGGTTGTACACGTAGATGGGCTGAAAATATTCTGAAATACAAACATGTTTTCATATTACTGAGCTCAGATGTGAACATCAAGATTAGTCTGTTATAAAATGCTACAAATAGGAGAAATATGAAATTTCAATCTCAAAAACAGAGGAATACTTTAGAATTCATAGAAAAACTAGCCAGGAAGACAGCTAGAAACAGACTCTTATTTTCAAACTTTTAAATAAGGAAATCTCTGAAAGAATCCAGCCAGAGCATGCATCAGCCCAAGGCATTTTCTGCCAGTTTTGATTCAAATCTACACGGCCTATCTGATGTTGCTGTTCTCTTTACCTCCCAAGTCTGTTCTTATCTTCCTGCATCAAAGATTTGCTACATATTCCTATTTTCTCCTGAGGAAGCTGAGACAGACTGCTCTGCCTTTCTGTCCGTCTCCCCACTGGCACAACAGTCACCCTAGTACTCTGTTAGTCTCTCCAGTGTCATTTCCTGTGATGTAAATACAGGGAGTCTGCGCACAGCTCTGTGCACTGCAGTCTTATATTGCACCCAGGAGTCCACGAACTCGTGCACCCAGGCTAAGGTGAGAGAGGCATGATCTCCATGTGCCCAAGACAATCCAGTGTTTGAGAGCAGCCACAGGCAGGAGAAAGCAGGCAGGGGAGGAGGGAGCAGGTCACAGAGACTTCTGGGTGCTCCACCTGAAAAGGTTATAGAAGGTAGCACAACTCCATCAAGAAAATAGTAACTGAGGGCCCTCCCTGGTGGCGCAGTGGGTTAAAGCACAGCACTAAGAAGCTAAAGCCACTTCAGCATGAGTTTGATTCTCGCCAGCCCCAGAGGTGACCCACATGGTGTGGCAGACCTCTCCTGACCCGCCCACTGCTCCCCTCAGCAGTGTACTTCATCGATCTGCCTGTTCTGCTCCCCGCTGTGTGTGGTGAATCCATTCACCGTCCCTGCACCTCTGGCCTGTACCCCAGTTCTGTCTGCATAAATAAATAAATCTTAAAAAAAAAGAAAAAGAAAATAGTAACTGAGAGTATATGGTGGGTAGCTCCAATATACACCTGTGAGAAACAGCACTGATAAAATGCCTATTACAGAGATAATAATTTAAAGTGTATCTTACCCATGTTCTCAACACAACCAGATGTTTTTAGTCCTGAAACAGAGATAAAGTTTTATTAGTTAAGATAATCTATCCTGATAAAAAAAAAACTTCAAATTGGCCCATGGCTATGGATAGTCTAATCTACCCGGTACTAGTCTCAGATACATAATTGAGAGCGAAATAAACTGCCAAAATGTACTGTGATTACATTTTTGTAATCACAGTACTACCACCCAAAGAGCACCGTGATCTTTAATAAGATATCTAATCTTTCTAGAATTCAGTTACCTTATCTTTATTTTTTATTAGACACCTGTTTCAAATGACCCCCAAAGGCTCACTGAAAGTTAACACTTTATACCAAGGCTTTCCCTGGTGGCGCAGCAGGTTAGAGCACTGCACTGTGAAGCTAGGCCAAGCGGTGGCCACTTCAGAGTGACGAATTGGATCCCCACCCCGAGGTGATCCACATGGCGCCGCAGACCTCTCCTGTCTTACCCGCTTTTCCCTTCAGCAGTGTATTTCAGTTAACTTGCCTGTTCTGTTCCCCACTCTGTCTCTGGTGAATCCTCTAGCCACCCTGCACCTCTGGCCTGTATCCCACTTCTGTATGCATAGATAAATAAAAATTTTAAAATAAAAAGAAAGTTAACACTTTATGATTCCATTCTATGATTAGTTTGTAAACATCAGCAGAAAATTCACCTGTGTACTGGAATATTACACAGCAATAAAAAACGATAGATTCATGCCATTCACAGCAACATGGATAGAGTTGAAAGGGATTATGCTCAGTGAAATGAGCCAGAAATAAAACAAGGGATGAGAAAAAAAAAAGTAGCTGTAATAAAGGGAAAAATCAAAGTCAGCCAACTACAGATCAGAAACATTCTGTAGGAGAAGAGGAAGGAGAAGGATCAGGACGGGGGGGTGGGAAGAGCACAAGGGACAATAGTGATGGTGTACAGGTGAATGGTGGTGAGAATTTCAGGGGGAAACCATACATTGTTAAAAAAAAAAAAAGGATGATGTAATAAATATATTTTTCTAAAAATTCACCTGGGCATTCAATTAATCTTCTCTTCAGTGTGCTTGCTCTGCTTTTACTTTAGTAAATGCACATAAACTTTATATGACTTCAGAAATAGACAAGACATCATACTATCAACCAGCACTACCAGAATATGTTAACGGATGCTGACTCTGCTTGCTGTGGTTCTATGGCTGCTTGTCCTCCCCCAGAGGTCACAGGAAGTCATCATTATAGTAAAAAGACAATCATCTCCTGAAAGCTAGAATGAGTTGTGGAGGTGGGCAGCTTCTGCCAAGGCTCCTGGTGGTCATGCCGCCCTGTATTCATACCCTTATACAATCTCCTCTTGAATGTGGATTAAGCCTTGCGCTTGCTCCTAGCAAACAGAAAGCAGCAAAATGATGACAAAAGACTGATTTGGTTGCAAAAGACTGATTTGCAAAGGATTACTTAGCTGGCACTATTTCTTGCCTTCTCTAGTCAACATATATTATATTGTGAAACATTCTATGGAGAGGCCTTTGGATAGGAACTGGGCCTCTGGTCATCAGCTCATGAGGAATGAGCCTTAGTCAACAACTCCTAAGGATTGAATTCTGCCAATAACCATGTGTGTGGGCGGGGGTCTTTCCCAACAAGTCTTCCAACGATGGCTGCTGTGTGAGATCCAGGCAGACGGTTCGGTGATACCATGCCTGGATTCTAGGCCCCCAGCAACTGTGAGATAAATTAGACTGTTGTTTTAAGCCCCTGAGAAACAGTGAAGTAGTTTGTTATGCAGTGAGATAATACAGACGTAGAGTCAATTTTATGTGTCAACTTGTCTAGGATACAGTCTCCAGTTATTCAAACACTATCCTAGTTGTTGCCTTCAAAGTGTTTTACAAATGTGATTATAGTCTATATTTGGTTATGTGGCAGGCTTTAATTAGTCAAGTAAGACTGTCTTCCCCCAAAAAGAAATTTTACCTGTTGTGGACAACAGTGGTAGCTCATGCCCGTGAGTTCCAGCCTTCCTGAATAGTCAGACTAAGGATGCCAGATTTGCCTTGTCACTGGCCCACCTCCCCCCAACAATTTGTAAACAAATCCTTTGTAAGCAGTGACTTAATATATATTTCCTACTGCTTCTATTTCTGTGGTTGAACCCTGACTGATACAATAAAAAGAGAGCAAGTCTTTTCTGTACAAGTCTAGAATAACTCTCCTTTTTCTTACAAATGTAGATACAGTTCAAACAGCCTTCTAAATTGTCCTAAGCATTGATGTACAGTATGAACTTCTCATGGTGATGGGTATGCCACTTCCTGTCTATTCTGTCTACATGGGATCTTATTGATGATCCAAGCCAAGACAAGAGCACAGAAAGAGAGAAGGCTAGAGAAGGTTATCAGTCAGAACCAGTGAAAATGAGCCTCAAGGACCAGGGGTGGGAATTTATAAAAGCTAAATCCAGGTGGACCTGTAGGCTCATTGTTCTGGAGCTTCACCAGAGAGCTGGCTGGACAGGTCTGACTGAAACCCAACAACACAGGCCCAGCCAGCCACTGGCACCTAGGGGCTCCTTCCTGACAAGGTCGCTCTTCCAGTCAGGACCCTTGATACTCTCTGCTCCCCCCCCCCCAGAGTATTAATATCAGGAGTAAATTTACAAAAATACAGTCTGGTCGCTCTCTCTAGACACACTACCCAAATTCCAAATGACCTACGCCTACTGAGTTCAGTTAGGAGCGGTGCACGCTGCTCTAGTGTTTTCCTAGGAAATCCTGTGTTCTATCTACGCTGTGAATACAGGGACTCCCAGAGCTATGACTTCACAGCAGGTGTTTATAATTCACCAGCAGTCCTCCCAATTCAGGAGCAATTTGCCAATAGGGGAACATTTAAGGATAAGAAATGCAGCATGATCACACAGTTGACACTCTACCTTTATCAGGTTTCCCAGAAAACCTGAGGAAGGCTTAGTCAGTGATTTTTCTGTGTGAAGGAGAGAACAGCTTTGTTAACATTTACTCATAGTTCACTTCTAAAACCTTGGATTATTACCAAGATTAGTATGTTTGATCACCAGGAACTGTATTATCTAATGGGACATTGATTTGCTCTCCACTTCCTAACTAAACTGTTTCTTTAAACTAGTTTATCAAAGTCCCGCAGTACATTTTTATTTTGTTAAATCATAATCAAGTTTACAACAGTAGCATAGTACAGAATATTTTCATTACTCTTACAAATATTGTCTTTTTTCACATCTAGGCACAGTTTCACTGGGACAGAGTTCTGATTATATTCTCTGTGCTTGAGCTTTTAAATCACTAAAAGCTCTCCTGCAGCTCTCCTGCCCACCTTGACTATGCAGGTGTTTCTTTTCATAAGCCTTTTTCCCTTTGTAAAGCAGAACCACCTGTGTCTGTGTAGATGCCTCTTTTTTCATTTCTACTATTACTAAGATGCCAGTAGTTTTAAAATGTAAAAAATAAATAAATAAAAAGAAACCCCCTGGTTATTATTCTTCCTTGTTTCTTTCAGACAGCCTATTTTTAAAAAAAAATCACTTTAAGGACTTTAACTTAACCCTGCATCACCAACAGTTACCTCTAGATGACAGCATAGGACATGGTTAAATCCAAGACAAGCTCAAAGGTTCCCAACACCCCCTTGGTAACTCAACCTCCTTTGTGGCTACTTTAAACATTAACCTGCTGTGCAATCTCTGCTGGGCAGGCCACCCTGGCGTGCTCGTTCCCTTGCCCTCTTCCCACATGGGGTTCATAATGTGCTTCTTCAGGCAGACCTGAGCCCTGGCTCTTACCAAGAAGACTCAAAAAGGCCACCATCCCCTTCACTCAGTTTTACAGATGAATGCGGACAAGGAACACAAAATGCTACTTAGCAACAGGACAGCATCGGAAAACATCCTTTCAGTGCAAGTCCTCACAGGAGCCCAGGGCTGTTCCTCACCCCATAATGTCAGCTCAGGTACAGGCGACCAAGTTCACACGGGTAAATGTTGGTACCACCCTAACTTAGTAGCCTCATTTCACATAAGAAACACAACACCTCTCATACTGGCTCATGAATGAACTTCCAGGGCTCAGCAAGAGCACCTGGGAATGTTGCACCACATTCGGGAATGCCCAAAGAAATCCAAGTTATCCACTGTTCATTCACAATCCTCCCAATTTAGACCCACCTTATCAATCAAAGCTGTGTTTACCATTAGTCAGTGTGGCAAGATTACAGGGCTGTCATTCTGCCTTTAGATTACAGCAAATGGTGCTGGGGGCGACCTGTTATGAGGCTATTTTCACAGGAGAAAGGAGGGAAAGCTCTACTAACTCTTTACTCATATACACCAACGCACACACCACAAATTTTCTGAAAATATCAGAACACCCTCCAGAGAAAAACAGATCTTAATTCAATATTTTTTTTTTTCAGACATGTCATCTTAGAAAATTTGCTCAATTTCCCTATTCTCCGGGAAGTTCTGGAGACCCTTAATCCTGCTGACCAAAGATTCAAGAAAGAGAAGGCAATCTAAGACAGAGGTGATTCTTCTCAAAGGAGAAGCACAAGAAGGCCTCAGGGAGGGCAGTGAAGAGAATTCAGCACGTTCAGGAAGTCTGAAGAACACAGAACAGAAAGATGGGGGAATTCAGGATTCAGGAAAAAAGTATTCAATATTTCTCAAAGTATTAAGAGGAGATTTCTATTTCGGTGTTAAAAATACAAAGAGTTAAGAGAACAAAAGGAATCATACAAATCAATCTCTGAGGTTAAGAGGTGCTTAAAAAGGTACCAGTCTCTGTACACTTGGAGAATGGGGAGGGAGAACTGCTCCAGTACTGAGGAGGAAGGGTAAATAGATATTTTGGTTTACTGACCTAACATTTACTTCTAAGTCTCATTTCCCCTGTTTCCCTCTACCCCAGAAGATGGAAAAGCTAATCATCTTGCAAGCTTTGCTTGTGACTGTGGATAGCCAAATAGCTGTTTTGATCAAAAAACATGTCAGAAGAAATATAGACATTTTTAGGAAAGCTTTTACCTTCCTGATCAAACAGGCAAATTTGGTTGACCTCTGCTTTCCCATTTTGTCTATCTTGAACATGATGGGTTAATGTCTGCAGTTGAAACAAGCACATTGCAAACACGAATCAACAAACCAGCACCCCAAGCTTGGTGGAAAAGGAAAAGCAAGCCTGACTTACTGGTGATGCACCAAGTCTCAACAGCCTAATTCTAGTGCTTGCCAGTCACATTTTCTGGTATCACTGGACGCAATAAAGAACTCCTAATTACTGCATGCATGCATGCATGGTATATACATGGTGTGTGTGCTTATTTTAGTACTCATTCTCCATAGTGGGGAGTTAACAGGGGATGTCTAAAATTAAAAAATCAAGAAATAATATATTGAAGCATGTTAACTTAGAAACTTAGTAAATGCATGCCGTAGGAAAAAAACTTTAAAAAGTTAAAATGGACACCACTAAGCAGTGAAAATGCAGAACAGGGGGTGGGCCAGGGTTCCTATTATTCACTCTAAACCTGTGGACCAGGTACTTATTTGTCGTGAGGACTACCCTATGCGTTGTTAGCAGTAGATTTAGTCTCTGCCCAATAGATGTGGGAGGGATAGTTGAGAAAACCAAAAACGTTTCCAGTCAAGGCCAAATGCTCCTGGGTGGGGGGCAAAAATACCCCTGGTTGACACCCACTGCCATCGATGGCTGTTAACTTTCAATAATATTATACAATAGCTAATCTATTATTTTGATAAATCAGAGGAAAAGAAACCTAACTGGATAAAAAGAACTTTCAAATTCTTTTCACTTTCCTTCCCCATCTCACCCACTCCTCACCTCCCAGGCAAGCACAGGCAGAAACAACACTTACCCCCTAGAAATGCACATTCGTAATGGCTGCAGGTCTTATTTGTGCTTTGAAGGATAAGATTATTGCCAGTCACATCCTGTGACACGTGAAAAACCTCATTCAGAGGTATCAAAACAATCTTTTCATCTTCGTCATCAAAAAATTTTTCAACAGCAATCCCAAAGCATGTGTGGATGGTTAACAGAATGTGTTGGTCATTAGCTGGTTGAGGCTTGGTTGCATAGGCCAAGGTGAAATTGCCAAACCTGACTTGGTTCAGCCCTCCAAATATAAATGCAACCTGGCTTGAGCTGTACACCACATTTTTGTAACTCTCTTCACAAGGCTTCCTCAGCAACTGCAGGGCTTTTGTCAGGTAAAAGTGAAAAGCTTTGAACTGGAAGTCATAGATATAATCTTTTCGAGATTGGCCAGCCATCTTCACGGCTTTATTGAATAGATGGTAAAATTCAGTTTGCTTCTGAGCTTCGGAAATATATGCCATCAGGGCTATTCCATGGTTATCCTTAAAATTCACAGGGAGAACCATCTTAGTCTTCCGGGCTTCCCATTTGGATGCTGCGTCTTCCCACACATCCACCAAGAGCTGCTGGTTTGCTTTTTCCTCCTTAAGTAGTTGGGGAATATATTTGATTTCCATCCTGTCAGTACATTTCAGGTATTCATCATCAAAAGCATTATCTGCCATGTCTAGCATTTCAGCTTTCACCTGGCAAAGGAAACAGAAATTAACAGTTCAGCAATAAAATTATTTAGTACTCTTTTTTTTCTCACATTACTGTTCCTAACCCTTTGTGCTCTGTCAAGAACTTCTTCCTTGCTTTAACTCAACTTTGAATGTTTTTTTAATGCAGAAAGTACATTCCATTGTTATTGATTTAACTCTTCTTAGCTGTGACCAATTTTTATAAAAGAATAAATGTTTGTGGGTAAGAGGTATGGGTCTAATTAAGTCTATAACTCATTCATCTGAGCCTTGTGATACAGAGGAAAGAAGGATGAGTGTGAAATTAAACAAATGGTGACAGTCCTAGCTTTGAACAACATTTCCTCAGCCCCTCTAGGCTACTGAGTGAAATTGAACTATCATATATGAAATGGCATATATGCTAGATAAACGCATAGTGGCAATATACCCTTTTTCCTTTGAGGATGTTTCCTCCCTTGTCCATGTGGTTTAGTAGACTAATTCTGTGCCTAGAGAAGAAATGACATGTTTCTTCAAAGAAATAGAACAAATATTACTAAAATTTATATGGAACCACAAAATATTCCAAGAGGCTAAGTAACCCTGACAAAAGAGAAAGAATGGCAATGTCATACTTCCAGACCGCAAACTGTAATACAAAGCTATAATAATTAAGACAGAAAGGCATCAGAATAAAAACAGACATACTGACCAATGGAATGAAAATGAGACCCCAGAAATAAAATCACACCTGTAGGGACAATTAATCTCCAAAAAAGATGCCAAAATACACAGCAGAGAAAGGACAGTCTCTGCAATAAATGGTATTGGGTAAACCAGACAGAAATATGTAAAAGAATGAAGTTAAATCATGATCTCATACCATACACAAATATCAGCTCAAAATAGATGAAAAGATGTGAGTGTAAGATGTGAAATTGTAAAATACCCAGAAGTAAATACAGGCAAACATTTCATGACATAGGCTTCAGAAATAAATGTCTTTGCAGACTTGTCTCCAGCAGCAAGGAAAACAAAGAGAAAATAAGTTATTGGAACTACATAAAATTAAAGTTATGCAGTGAAAGAAATTGTCATTAAAACAGTGAGATACCCTACTCAATGGGAGAAAATATTGCATTCCATCCATCTGACAAGAGAATAATATCAAAGATCGAGAAAGAACTCACGCAACTATTTGCATTCCATCCTGACAAGAGACTAATAACAAAGATCAAGAAAAAACTCAGACACCTCCACAAAAAGAAAATAACCCAAGCAAAAAGTGGGCAGAAGAGCTAAACAGGCACTTCTCCAAAGAAGACATACAGGTGATCAACATAAGAAATACTTATCACCGGCTCTCCCTGGTGGCGCAGCAGGATAAAGCACAGCACTAAGAAGCTAAAGCCACTTCCGCATGAGTTCGATTCCCGCCTGCCCGGGAGGAGATCCACATGGCGTGGCAGACCTCTCCTGGCCCGCCCACTGCTCCCCTCAGCAAGTGTACTTCATCGATCTGTCTGTTCTACTCCCTTCTCTGTCTCTGGTGAATCCTCTCACCCTCCACATCTCTGGCCTGTAGCCCAGTTCTGTATGAATAAATAAATCTTTAAAAAAAAAAAAAAAAGAAATACTTATCACCAACTTACCCTCAGGAAAATGCAAATCAAAACCAGAAGATACCATCTTATCTGTGAGAAAAGCCCATCCATATAAAAAACAACAAGTGCTAGTGAGGGTGTGGAGTAAGGGGAACCCTCTCCTAACTGCTGGTGTGATTATAACTTACTCCAACCCCTATGGAAAGTAGTATGGAAGTTTCTCAAAGATTATAAATGGATGTCATATGACCCAGCACCCACCTGAAAATAGAAAAACACTAATTCGAAGGGAAACCTGCACTCCCACGTTTATTGCAGCACTATTTACAATACCTAAGATCTGGAAACAACCTAAATGTCCCAAAACAGAAGACTGGATCGAGTGAATGCAGTATACATACACAATGGAAAACTAGTCTGCTGTGAAAAAAGATAAACTCTTGCCATTTGTGGCAACATGAATGGAACTGGAAGGTATTATGCTAAGTGAAATTGGTCAGAAGTAGGAAGATGGAGGATGGTGCCACTTATATGTAGAATAGAGAAACCAAACTAAGGGTCAGATAAAGACAAACGGAAACAAAGCTAACCCTTTAAAGTGAACTATAGAATAGCGGCAGCCAGTTCAGGAGGGAGAGGGTGAGGACAAAGGGAAGGGAACACGATGTAGACTATGGTTGCTTTGGTGGTGGGTCTATGGGAACACCAGAAAGGGGAGTTCCTACATGTTTAAAATAAAAACAACAATGTAAACCAAAGTTAACTCAATAAAAAAATGTCATTTTAAAAAAGAAAGAAATGATCAATACCTACAAATCAGTGCACTACCAGAAAAAATGTATGCTGCTTTTCCCAAAACCCAAGGAATCTGTTCAAATTCCATAGTATCCATATGGATACTACTGGCTTGGGCTATTGCCAATAGTTACTCTTTTAGTCACATGGAGAATCCTGTCTGAAAATAAAGTCAATAAAGAAGGCTGGCAGAGTTGAGAGGCAGAGAGAGAGATGAAGCCCTGTTAATATTACCTAAAGTCCTGCCTAGTTATATCCGAGGATTGTGTTTTATCCTAGTCATTAGAATCAACAAATCCCTATCTACCTGAGCTAGTTTTAATTTGTGTTTCTCACTACATGATACACCTCATAGGGAAACCATTTGTGGGTTTCTCAAGTAAAGGGACAATACCTTCCCACATCATTTTTTCTTTCCGTTCTTCTATACTTGGATGGTACATGATAGCATAAAGTGCTTAGGGAGGACCTCAGTTGGAAAATTCACAGAGACATTAGGCCAGAAACTGATAAAGTTGCAGGCTCCATGTGAATATTTCTTAAAAAGTCTATGTGAATATGGGTACCATATGACTGTGAGTACAAGAGCCAACTTAAAAAAGCAAGATAAAGCTTGATCCCATGTTCCATCTAGTTCTTTCCCACTAGCTCTCTTCTTTCTCTCCCACACAGTCAGATTTCTTAAAAGTGAGTATTATTCTTGCTATCAATACTTCATTTCCTCACTTACCTCAAACCTCAATAGTCTGGTTTTCCATTCCCATCCTTCCAGCCAAACAACTCTCAATGGAATATATCTGTTTAGATGCCTCTGTAGACCTAACATAATCCCAGTTGGCTATTACACATGGGTCTTTCCCAGACACAAGGCAATTACACATGCAGAGAGTTCCAATGATCATCCAAGTAAGTCTAACATATATCAACTCCCTTCTTAAGACCCTTCCAATATAATAGTCTAAGACCAAATTTATGACCTTATGGCTCATAACAACCACCAGCAGCATGGTCCTTATTTAAGACCATCTATTCATTTATGAATTTTTCCTACATGTTTCCTTCTCATTCCTCCTCTATGGCTACACCATCACTATGCCCTAACAAACTTCTCCAGAGTGCTTTCTTTATGCCAGATACTAAGTACTTGGTCAATATTAATTCATTTAACCTTCCTCACAACTATGAAACAGACACTATTGTTAGTTCCTCTTTTAAGTAAAAGGAAACGAGGACACAGAACATTGAGTAACTTTCTGACTTGGATTTTGAAATCAGTCTGGCTCCTCAGTGGCTGTCCTCTTAGGGAAAATATTCTGTTTCCAATGATGAAGACTACCGACATTTATGTGGTATGTTTAAAAGCATTTAACTTTGATCTCATAACAACACTTACAAAAAGTTGGGCAAACAGTTCATAGTATCACTTTACAAATGAAGACTTGGTGCTGCTGTCAGAAATGGTCTTTCCCAGACACAAGAATTCAGGGGATTTACTGACATCCTGCACCTGGGTTTGTAGGTCAGTTTCTTAAAATGAATATTTGTGCATCAGGAGACTGAATCACTGCCATCTTCTAGGCAAGAAACATTTCTCTCTGTCACATGGAGCCACAATATGTGGCCAAGGTCCCTATGCTTGATTTATCTTAAGACATCAACATATTGTAGAACCTCATACCCTGAAGCCACCTCCCACACCTCACATCTTGTCAGAGTTGATCCAATTTGTTCCTGTCTATGACTCTATCCAGGCTCCACACGCCTAATTTTAGACATCAAGTCTTTTTGGCCCAAGGCCACAGCTGATGGTGTGTTCTGTACAGTGAGTGCCTTGAGTAGTGACTAAGCTCACAAATGCTACCACCATTCAGGGATAGCTGAATGGACAGTAAGGGACAGAGAGTAAAGCTTGGTGAGCATGCTGATTTTCTCTCCCTTCTCTGATTCAGCAAATGAGAAAAAGCTCAAAATGATGAAACTCAACTGCCAAAAATGCATTACAAAAATGTGGAAATGGCATAAAGTTCAACAAAAGAAACTGGTTAGACAATATTATGTTGCAAAAGAATATTAAAGATGCAAACTGAAACCACAATAAGACATTGTGATTCAAGTCATTAGACAGCTATGCTAAGGAGTAAAAAGGGAAACTAACAAATGTAGACAAGGGGAAGCTAGAATCCTTATATCTTGGTGGTGGGAATGTAAAATGGTACAAGCACTGTGTAAAAATGCTTGACCATTCCTCAAAATATTAAACATAAAAGTTACTCAGCAATTCTAGCCTTAAGTAAATAGCCAAGAGAATTGAAAACACATAAGCACACAAGTTCACATAAGCACTTGCACACTTTGTACACAAAAAACCAGAGCATCACTGTTCATTCATAAAAACTAAAGAGTGAAAACAACCCAAATGTTGATCAACTGATGAACAAATAATATGTTGTATAATCACACAATGGAATCTTATTCCATTAAAAAAAAAAAGAATGAAGTGCAAAGATAGGCTACAATATAGATGAATCTTGACAATGTTATGCTAAGTAAAAAGGCATACATAAAGACAGATTCTGCATGATTCCACTCAGATGAAATGTTCAGAAAAATTCAGAGAGAAAAAAGTACATGCCAGCAGAAGCAGGAAAAGGGAGAAGGCAATGACCGCTAACAGGTACAGGGCTTCTTTATGTGGATGTGGGAATACTACATAATTAAATAGAACATAATTAAATAGAACAGAGCGAAGATACAAAAAAATAATCAATGACCTGCACAATTTAAAATAAAGATTTTTATATGAATTATATCTCAATTAAAAAATTGTATTTTAGTAGCAGCAACAGAAGATACACTGTTTCTATGAACAATGGATTAGAAAATTAAGTAAAAATGGGTCCAATTTTATAAGAATTTAACATAGTTTAAAGCAAGCAATTCAAATTAGAGGACCTATGTTCAGTAGTGATGACACAGCTAACAATGTGGGCGGGGGATCAAGTGACAAATAATTTTTTATTTATATATTTTACATCGTTGTATTTCCAATAGAATTCCTACCACCAGTTCACCTGTGAATCATCACCATAGTCCTTCGTGCTCTTCTCTCCACTGTTTGTAATCCTTTCCCTCTCCCTCCCTCTACATCATATTTTACATAAAAATGTTAGAAAATGTATAAAGGTTCAAGTTTAAAAAAATCATAGAAGTACCATTAGAAAAAAAGAATACTTAATATGAGAAAGAGATCAAAGTCATCATTATGTAATAAAAAACATGTAACCAAATGCCACAGAATCATTGTATTTGGAGAAAAAAGTTCATATTTTCAGAATATTTAATGGCACAGTGTAAATTTTAAAAGGAAAAAAAATACTATGTATAATGTGAATTCACTTTTATAATTTAGATACAGACAGAGATAAAGAGATAAAAGCAGGAAAGACTATCTACCAACAGATTAAAGTTTTTCCCTCTGCAAGAAGGGACTACAGATGACTTTTACTTCTCTTTGTTTTTTTCAGCTTTCCACATTAACAGGTAGAAATTAACATAAGCATATAAACATTACTTTAAAAAAAACTGATTTAAGGATTCCATCTGCTCTCATTTCAATAAATTCACAAAGGAAAAACCTCAGGCAAGATGACTTGAAGTTCCCAATCCAAAGGCCATATGCTTCCCACTTGCAACATTACCTGGAAGATGTCCATTAGGATCATAGCTGCCAGCAACATGGAGACCATTTCAAAATGTCCTGTCTTCATTTTTCTCTTCTAAATGAAAATGAAGAAAATCCAATTTAGTAGACTTTTAAAAGAGGCTTCAGGAAGAAAATCAGGATGAGTGAAAGTGGGTACCATGATAGTCAGGATGTGATTAACCATAATTTCCAATGATCAGAAGGGCTGTTGAAATTTTGGTTGGGGATCAAACATTCTCATTCTACAGATGAGGAAGCAAAAGTACAAAGAATTCAAATTATTTCTTCTCCATATTAAATCTATACTTTTCTATTCTCCAGACATGTCACCTTTCTAACTAATCATTCTCCCTCTCTCTTAAATACCTCCCACCATATACAAAACACAATACAAACTTTAAAAAAAAAAAAAAAAGCACATTTCAAATTGCTCCCCTAACTCCACTAACTCCCAGCTCTAAGAATTCTCTAGGAGTTAAGTGTCCAAGCACCTCATCCGTTCTTGTATCCTCTTTGGAAACCAGGTCATGCACATCAGAGAAGAGTGTGAGAAATGACAAGGTCAGTGCAAACGGGAAGGTTCTCCTAGGGGTCTCCTTCCCCCAAATATTCACACTCAGGAGAAGCCCAATGAGAAAACAAATGTCTTGCATAACTTTCTGAAGGCGGGAATGAGCATAAGAAGGAACTGGGCAGGCAGCAATTCTAATAGATTATACAACTCTGTTGGCCAAGAGCCCAATATTCATTGTAGTGTTTACCAGACTCAAGGGGGTAAACAAAAGGGTGAGAGACCCTCAAGAGTTGACGGTGTCTGAAAGCCATTAGCTGATTCAATTAAAGGCTGATTCCTTCCACATACCAGCAACAAAGTTGACATTACTGAAATTGAACTGAAATCTCTGTTTTATCCGACCAGTGACCAGTGACCAAAGTGTGGTGTCCGCAAGAGGAATGAACAGCACAGTGAAAGCAGATAGTCTTCCTGGAGGCCCCAGGTTTCTGTCTTGACTGCTCTTTCACTGAAGGCAATAAGGTAGCATACAGAAATGTAACTTTTAAGTTAAACTTCCCATTTCAAAAAAAAAGATTTAAAATAGAAATGTCCGGCTTGATGGCGGATGACTCTGATGAGCTAGTACATGCCAAACAAACTTGAATCAGGGCTTCCTTGAAAATTCTTCACTTCCCTAGTCTGAATGTAAATAAGCCAAAATGGTTACCTGGTTTTTCTGCCTGTAGAGAGATTTAAATGATGCTAGCTCTCAAAGTGATGCCCCCACTTTCTCAGTTGTGAGCGTGTCTTCAGGATGGAAGGTTGTTGACTGAGAACTGAGAAGGGAATGCTTTTCTTTTTATAAACACCCCAGCAGTAGCTTGGCAGTGGCACATTACCCCATTTGTGTTCTGCTATTTATATCTGGCCCCCACACTACCCTTGGAATCACTGCTGTTAACACATTAAATCTCCAAGGCTTGTAAAGCCACGGCAATTCCCTCTAGCCACAGAGCACGTTCAGTTCTGAGCCTTCAGTTCTGGGCTGCTCTGGGAGTAATAGCTTCCCATTCATTTCCCTTTCACCGTGAGATGGCAAGCTGAAGCCTAGACATTGCGCTAGCTATAGCTGTCACTAGTAAAGGGACTAAAGGGACTTGCCGCATTACTCACTGGCCATGGTGATGGTATTAAGCCAGGTGCTGGGACACACAAGCAAGTAAAAGTTCTGAAAAGTACAACCTATATAGGAATGTGCATACTTAACCAGAAAACATGCTGAAATCTCAAGTATAGACAAAGTCCAGGAGGAATACCAAATAGAAAAGGATTTGGTAATACTTGCAATCATAGTCTCATCTGAG